CAATTATTTGCACAGTTAGTTTTGGTATTGAGGTCAAAGTTACCTTGCGTTTGCTATATAACAGTGGGTGGTGGTCACGAAGATGACGGAGCAAATTTGATGCGTTTCCCCCTTTTGCAGCGACTTTCTTCTTGCAAGATCGGCAGACGGGTGACCGTCCTCGATTAAATTGCCTTCAGGACTCTTGTAAAAGCCAAAATACGACCAGACCACCGATTTGGTCCTCTTAGATGGCTGAAAAAAATCTCCCGAGCGCTGTCACTGCCTTCCGCCATTTCGTCTCGTGCAAAAAAAAACAACAACAACAACAACACTGCATTCTGCTTCTGCGGCAGACTGATGCTGGCTGGACAGGATTTACCGCGAGTTTTCAAAATTGCGATAATCAAACACGGTTTTGATGATAATTAAATTTTAAACGGTGATACTAACCGTCAGGGCATTTTATCGTGATTTATCGTAAAACGTAATCGTTACATCCCTAGCTGTCAACTTGTATTTTTTTATATTATTAATATTACACATTTTAATTATAAACAAGTAAAATAAACCAAATAGATAAACACAAAAATCATAATTACAAAATAAATTGTTTAATTTTTATTTTAAAGATTTATTTTTGGCATTTTTGCCTTTGTTATGACAGGACAGTGTAGAGATTACAGGAAGTGAAGTGGGAACAGTGGTAGGAGGTGTGCGATTGAAAGCTCCTCGAGCCGGGATTCGAACTCGGGACACCCGTAGTGCAACGGCGCTATATAACAGTGTGCTGCCCACGAGGCTATTGCCGCCAAAAGCTATTTTATTTTATTTTTTTAAATATATCTTAACTAATTATTAAAAATGATAATAATAATAATAATTAATAGTATTATATAAAACAGGCAACAAATTTGAACAAATTTTATCATGGTGTCTAAAAAACACAGCTAATAACACTATGCTGCAAATGAATAATTATTCTAATAAAAGTAACAATTGGCATGTGTAATTCATATTATTTTTATTTTTGTCCCACCCTGCTGCCTTCCTCAATGCACTTCCACTTATTTTAAGGTGCAGTCAGCACTTCTGTTTCTGATCTCACCCCCTCCACTTCTCTTTCTTCCTCTCTCTCCATCAGCCACTTCTGCTTTAATTTTTAACTCTCTTGCTCAACGTTGGCTGTGCACAGCTGCAACTAAGACAGAGCCAGAATACTGTGGATTTTCCATTTAAGAATGGGACACTGTGAAAAATTGCCTGGTCCAAAGCCTGTGGATTCTGGACTGATCCAAATGGATATTAGCTACAACAGAACATTGCGATTAGTAAGGCACGAACCGCAGTTCATGAAGACAAGACGTGATGGAATGAAATGAGATGAGTTGGCGACACCTCAATTGCTGTCAGATGTGAACTCACAAGAACTACTGCTGTGAAGTAGAATGCTGAACGCTAAAATGGGAAGTAGGTTGGGAAGGGAACAGAAGCTGAGTGGCGGTAACCCTGGTGTTTAAGGTGCACTCAATAATTGAAAAGTGGTGCAGCAATTACTGGAGATTTGCTGGTGTCAAAAGACCTGCTTTGAAATGCTGCGGATATTCTCTCAATCCAAGTACATAATGGAGAGCAGCTCCAAGTATGCTTTAGATCTGTAAATGATCTGACCTGAGTCTCATAGTCTTTATTATCTGTCATAGGAATATTATAGCTGTTTTTCAAATTATGGCCAATAAATATCTTTACCATCCTGCCACCTACCACAATTTGATAAATAATATGTAAATAAATAAAACCGATACAATTATACATATGGCGCGGTAATTTATGGTAATTTAAATACATTAAATTAAAATGATTTTTTAAAATGTATTTGATATTTTATTATATATTTATTAATTTATATATATATTTTAAATTTAAATGATATTTTCCTCATACAATATTAAAATAAATATAAAATATGAGAAATTCTAAAGATAAAATATGAATATTAAAAATATATATATATATATATATATATATATATATATATATATATATATATATATATATATATATATATATATATATATATATATATATATATATATATATATGTAAATATTCATAATTACAATTTGATAATAAATGTAAAGAATTAAAACAGATTGTTTTAATATTAATATTTTATAATATGTTTATCTTGTTTTTATCTTTTCACATTTTATATTATATATATTATATTATTTATATTTATATTACATATAATTTTTTATATTATATTATATTATTATAATATCTAGAATATAATTCCTCATAACATATTTTCTTCAAAAAATATTATTATATAAAAAAATGATATTCAGAAAGGAAAAAAAATCATCTTCAGAAATAAATTAAACTGTTCAATGCTATATAATTTTAATATTTACATAAATTTCATGTATGGACTATAAAAACTGTTCTTGCACTTTCTCGCCTGCTTGTTTTTCTGCTCCCTGCTGAGTGTAATACTGGCAGGCGGGCTGTGTCCCTCGCAGGAGTCTGCTGTGCGTCTTTTCGTATCATTAACCTATTTTAAATCCGCTTTCAAAGAATTAGGCAGTTTTTTAAATATTTACCCCTCTCTGCAACGCTTGCCAAATGACGCACTCAGCTGGCATGGAAGAAAATCATTTCTGCATTACAGTTCTTAATACACAAAACAAATAAGCAGAACCGGTCAGAACATAAAACGCCCTAACTATGAGCCAATAATGAATACCAACTGTTGGATTTAATCCGCAAATCAGTGGATCAAAAAAAAAGAAAACATACAAGTCTCCCTTATTTTTAATCATTTTTCAGAATTGAAGTGGAGCATGAATTCGCTCACTAATCCATGCTTACAAGCTCTCAGCACTGCAGCAAATAGATCGGCCAGAGTGAAAGTTCAGCTGTTTGATTGACAGCTACAGCAGCAGGTGGTGTGGGGTCCAGCAGAGCCTCTGCCCTTCACCAAGCTCTGCCAGAAGTCTCAGCCTCGGCATGCTGCCTCTCAACTCCACCATTACTCCCTAAATCGGACAGACAGTACCTTCACGTCAAATCAGCCTGAGATCAATAGGAGCTGGCGACTCTGTTGTGGCGTACAGTTCAACCTGTTCCTATTACCCTCTTAGAAACACTGTTTCAAAATGCTGACTCAAACGGTATCCGTTTTAATGACACTTCCTTCTCAGACACCTAATTTTAACCAAGTTATAGAACTGTGTGAACCTTTTGTGAAGAAGACAATCCCAGAACGCACAGCAACAAGTTTAAGATGGTTAATCCATTGGCGCAATAGGCTTCTGGGCAGCGCGCTGACATATATCACCGTTGCGCTACAGGCGTCCCGAGTTCGAATCCCAGCTCGTGGACCTTTCCCGATCCCGCCCCACTCTCTCTCCCACTTCACTTCCTGTCGTTATTCAATTGCCCCATCAAAGTAAAACGAAAAATGGCAAAAAGAGAAAAAGATGGTGACGCCATCTTAAAAGAAATTTTGCTCATCTACCTTATTCCTAAATGTGGAATTAAACCTATGGGCGAGATTTGCGGTTCATTAGCCGCTGTACAGAAATAACATGAAGAATATCAACGTGCAGTAAATGGTAAATCTGTTTGCATTACAAACCATTGTGTTCATAATTAAGATAATACAATACAATTATATGGTAAGACACACCAACTTGCAGTATCAAGCAGCAAAACGAGCGGTTTTGTACAGCTAAAAATAGCTGGAAGCAAATGAGACCGGAAACAAGAACCATAAAATTTACAAATGGTCACGCCTATTTTTATGGGAATACAGTGGATAAATAAACTTTTATTTGGTTCTATACTGACTATTATCAATAATAAAATTTATTATTTTACCCAAAGGACCAGTGGATGGACCAAAATTAAATTTCTGGCCATCACTGGTAAGCTGATAATTATTTTATAGCAGATAACTGATAAATGGCTTTAAATTAAATTAAATTAAATGAAACTAAATTAAATTAGACACCATTTTTGTCTAAATAAATAAAAATACACTAAATTTAAATCACTAGTAAACAAATCATTTTAAATTACGCAAATGAATAATTTGAATTATATAAAAATATTTACATCCTATTTAAATAATGATAATAATTATTATTATTATTGATCAATAATAATTTATTGTTTAGCATTTTAAATGATTGAGGACTATTAACTATTACTATTATTATTATTAAGATTATTTCTACATTAACATATTATACATGTAATATTTTGATATTAAATTTGAGATTATATTTAATATTCTGTGACTGGTTAAAGACTACATTTCACAGCATTAATACATTATTAAAGATTAATTACATTTTTAAACATTAATTAAAGAAATCAGTTAAAGAGATTAACTGCTGTTAACTGATGGCAAAGGAAATGAGGAAATGAGCATGAACAATTAAATACCTAATATAGACAGATACTGATAAATGTCAAAATAATAAATTAAAAAGACATCTCTAATCCCTTTCAATAATAATATCCTACATATATATTATACATCCCCAAATTTTAAGTTTATTAAAGTATTTCTCTATTACCTAAGCGTACGTGCAAAATTTTAACTCATTGGAAATCAATACAGCATGTGTCTCCAGATGCACAGTGTGTGGATGCTCTCACGTTTCCTGCACCGCTGGAGAAATGAGGCATTGATGAGCATGCGGAGTGGAGATGATATCGGCGACGAGGAGTCTTGGAGTAGTGTCACCATGTGAAAAGGTCACAGGCTCTTGAGCGCGTCATATCCATAGGTCAACCCCATAAAGCAGAATCTCAAGGCTCTCCTGCGCTTCCTCTCATTTGAGCCGGTGCCAGAGGCGGCAGATTACTGAAAAGAGCTTCCTGCAGATTGATGCATATCAGTTAGGAGAGAAAAAAAAAATCAGGAAGCGAAAATGGTGTGGCATGTCCAGAATGAGCTTTGGGCCTGACACCTGACCCACTGCTGCCTCGAGGGGATCAATGCGGGTCAAGAGAATGATGGGAAAGAAGACCGGCATGAGGAGACGCAGATGTTTTCCAACAGTGGTCTGGAAAAAATGTAGACGCACTTGAGTAAGTAAACATGAGAGAGTCACCTACACTCCATTCCTCCACAATTCTTCCGTCACCTCCTTGAAGGTTAGGTTGAGGTCAAGGAGATCCTCCCTCTGCAACCTAAAATAAGCGCCACTGTTTACATTTGTGCTTTTGCATGGTAATACTGAAGGTGGTCAGGCAGTGGAAACCCATTACTGCATTTCAACCGAAACCCAAGGCTATTTACAGTAAGTCAATAAAAGTTTCCAGTGTTAAAAAGGGATGCAGCAGACCAGAGTGGGCGTAAAACAACTTTTAATCATTTTAATCTTGGCCTTACGACAATGACCACAAGTTACAGAACAATGCATGCAAAAGAGGACTTCCCCGTCCCAAAGTTGGTTCAACAATACAGTAATTTCAAATTCAAACAGTTCTTCCTGTGGTATCTGATTCAACAAGGCCTCCTGTTGAGTGACCTCCATAATGGCTTCACTTACTTGAGGTCATCACTTGGCCTGATGACCCCTTTTTAACCTCAACAATACTCAACACGTTTTTTCACAATGGGGTGATACACTAATACAAACATAGACACATGGCAGCAATACAGATGGCCTGTTGGGTCAGGGCTATCTTTCTGTGATGTTTGTATGCAAATTTTTGCACCTCATTCAAACATGGCCCACATATCTACGTCACTGTGTGGGAAGATTTGCATAACACCACTTAAATCTATACGCAAAGAAAGAAGGCGTAACTTTTATTCTCGCTATAGTATTGTTGCTGCTGCCGCCGCCATGTTGTGGAGACACTGTGTGTTTCAAAATATGGTAAGGGGCGTAACATTTCCGTCACATCAGTGTTCATTTCGTCAAAGAAGACGACGATGAAAAATATTCGTTAACAAACATTTTTTCTGTGACTAAGACGAGACATTGATGAGCTAAAACTAATATCTGATGATAAAAACTATGACGAAATTTATGCCACGTCTTCGTTAACAAGACGAGACGGGACTATAATGTTATTTGAGGACTGCCGGACATTCAAAATACATCTAATAGGCTACGGTCTTGTCCTTCAAAATGTGCGTCCCTGTCGTTGGATTGCAATCGGATAAGGGGCGTTTGCATATTTAGTCTCAGTATGGCAGCCGCGGTGGATTGATAGGCTATCAAAATGCGAACTAGCGATCTGAAACAACGGCCTCAGCACCCGAAGGGTTAGGGATAAGGTGACAAGACGTCCCGTTTTTCCCGGGAGTCACAATTCATTGTCGATTAACTTAAAACTTAGTGAAGGCGGGATAGGCGGAATCGCGCTGATAGAAGTGCTCTCTCTCACGCACGCTCCACTTCTTCAGTTCTCATATACAGCGCGCGATCAGTTCTCAAATACACACACAGCAGTCCAAATGTCTATCATGTAGAGTATCTCACGTAAATACAATCGGTTATGGATTAAGTGAACGTAAACAGGTGGGTGAAAACTGAAAGTGTGTTAGTATTACATGCATGCCTTCCGTCTTAAATGGACAGCATTCCTAATTAAGTACCTATCCGTGTCATTAATGTTAACCAACAAATGATGTTAAATAAATATGTTAAGTAAACCTACTGTATCTGAAAAAATAGTTTAATTTGTATCTCTCATATTTGTCATATTCTGCTTCTTTGTCAAAAATAATAAATGATATTTATTGTATATGAACAACTATAATTTTTATAAGTTGCTCCCTTTTCACTACTGTTAAAGGGATAGTTCACCCCAAAATTTAAATTGTCATCATTTATTCAAGTTTTTCCAAATTCAATCCTTGATTCAAATTTCTCATAAGCTTAATTGATTTGGTCTAAAGAGAGAAGAATTAATTACTATTTTTGTTTGAAGACTACATATAAAATAGCTACCAAAATAAACGGTAACTGCAGTTTGACTAAAAGTAATGACAAAGTAATGGCTAAAAGTTGACAAAAATGCAATGACTTTTCGTCGACTAAAACTAGACTAAAACTATGAAAGACTCAAATGACTAAAATGTGAAAGACTATTAAGCATTTGGTCTCAAGATAAAGACTAAATCTTTTGATGCCTTTCAAAATGAACACTGTGTCACATGCTTGAGGTATTCTGCCAATCACAATGCACTGGATAGCTGGCTAATCAGAGCACACTGCGCTTTTTAGAATAATGCGTTTTGTAAAAATTGACGCATTTCAGAAAGGCGGGGCAGAGAGGAGCAACAATAATGTACGGTATGTGGAAAATAATGTGTTTTTTGAACCTTAAACCACGCAAATACATTGCATTACACCAAAAAAAATTTCCTCCCCGTTTTTTTCTTTCTTCATAACTACCCTTAAAATTTTGAAAGGATGGACTGTGCCATACTACTGCAATGAAATGCCCAAGTCATTTTAATATTGGTGTTTCGGTTTCTTTTAGGACTAATTAATCTAATTTGTATGTATATTTATTTATTTATATGTATGGCTTTTATGAGTGTGCATGTAGATGGATATAGCTGCATTTCCACGAGAGATACGAAATGTCGTTATATGCTACATGCAATGACAATAAAGGTATTCAAAATAATGTTCTTTTTAGCAAGGTTATACAACCCCTTTAAAACTTGTTACAATTATAAAACTTAATTACAATAACTTTAAATAATTCTATTATATATATATATATATATATATATATATATATATATATATATTTTACTTTTGTTAGTATTATAATAATAAACTAAAATAATTATTTTATATATTAAATATAAAATATATTAAATAATTTATATATTACTTATACATTATTAGTAATAGTAGTAATAAAAATAACAATCAGTGTCAATCTGTAAAAATTATAATAAATTTGTATTCATTTTCAAATATTTCAAAACAATTAATTAAGAATTATGTATTATTTTAAATATTATAAAATAAATCTAACAAATTTAAAATGATTTTAATTTTAAAATAAAGTCATATTCATACAAAAAGTTGTTGAAACTGCAAGAATGACAATAGTCTTGGTAGCATCAAGAATCAATGAGAAAATGCATAATAAATAATTTTAAAATATTTTAAAATAAATATTAAAAATACATATTCAAAATGATAATTTCTTTTAATGATCATTTAAAAAAATTATAAATCATAATTCAGATAGACTGAAAATGTTGGCGGGACAAGCAGAAATCTGATTAACTGTCCAGAAGGAAAAGGACATCACCTGCATGCTAAACACAACATGCTAAAACCCTGTCAGCATCTCTAAAATCATCCACTGCCACTGTTGTTGGATTGACCATCCTACCATCTCTATAACACAGAGTGGTAATTTGAAAGCATATAGTTTGTCTAGCCAGATTTTAGTAGTAATGATTACCCGTGTCTATACTTCATGCAATTGTATGCATGATGTAAACCCTCCATTACATATAATATACAGTATTTATATATGAGCCTCAGACTCCCAAGTTAAGCCTCAACACATCAGGCTGAGCAAAAGTAAGAAAACGAGGTCAGTGTCAACTCTCCAAGACACAGAGAGAACATATGACTTCCACCATGCCAGTCACTTCTAGGGATGCACATCCTGTAATTTGATTCTGGCTAATCCGATTGATCCATGCAAAATCAGGAACATCAGTGAAGCGCTTGTTAAGCGTGTTTCCTAACTCATTGCCCTCACATGAGGTAGTCTGAAAATAGCACAAAGAGAAAGTGGCAGAGTGAGTGGGATGAATGCAGTCTTCATGAGAGATGAGAGAAGCGGAGGTGAAGCAAGCAACCAATTTTCCCCCCAGCAGCGGCGCAGGTTTCTAAAAATACAATCAGGCAATGGCCAGCATAGAAGGGATAATGAGATTTCAGACGGCTGTAGTGTCTGAATATGCTAAGTCAAGGTCTGGAAGGATATCACGAGTCAGGGGGTCAGGAAGATAAAAAGGTATTAGAAATTGGAGTCGTTGGTAGTTTTGTTAAATTACCCAATCATTTTGCATGTTTCGAAACTGTGAATAGTAAAATACATAGTCTTTTTCTGATGTGGGAGGACTGTTATTTCCAAATAAGCCCTAGCTATACAATGTTATTGAGGTGTAGCTTTTCAGAATCAGGCATCTTACCAGATGTAAAAATCCAGATATTGGGGAAAATATGTATCTACATATTTTTTTCTCCCAATATCTGTATTTTCTACTTGATATGATACAGTATATAATAAACATTCTGTGCTAATGGTGATTTAGCTTCCGGGCCGGATGGAAAAGAGGCCCCACACTGGCGACCAATAACCTGCCTGGTCATCGCATACACCATATAACCATCATATGTCAATAATTAGTCTCATATATGCAAAATACCTCAGCATTTGGGCTGCTGGTGCAGTGGAATATTCATTTAGTGTTAATCCAAAGTAAAGGTACACTTTTCAACACTGTAAATGGCATAAAATATACAGATTCTGTAATTTTGTGTCTAAATAAATTGACAATAAATTGCTAAAAACTAAATTAATAATTTCAAATGCTACAAATGAATTTAGGCTTCACAACATTACAATGAACAGTATGAAAAATAGATATACATTTTTAGAATAGCTAAAGACAACATTTACTCAAAAATATTAACTAAATTTATTTGGGATAATCAAATTGTCTCTTAGTATCTTAGTGATGAATGACTGTCTGCAATTCATTCTTAAAGGGAAAGTTCACCCAAAAATTACAATTCTGTCATTAATTACTCACCCTCATGTCGTTCCAAACCTGTAAGACCTGTCAGAACACAAAATAAGATATTTTTCATAAAATCCATGAGCTTTCTGACCCTGCATAGACACCAACGCAACTACCACATTTAAGGCCCAGAAAGGGAGTAAGGACATCGTTAAAACAGTCCATGTGAAGAAATGGTTGAATAAAGTCTTTTTTTTTTTCTTTGCAGACAAAAGTTGTATTCTCTTAGCTTCATAAAATTACGGTTGAACCACAGATGTCACATGGACTATTTTAACAATGTACTTACTACCGAATGTGGTAGTTGTGTTGCTGTCTATGCAGGGTCAGAAAACAAAAATATCTTAATCTGTGTTCCGAAGATGAAAGAAGCCCTTACATGTTTGGAACGACATGAGAGTGAGTAATTAATGACAGAATTTTCATTTTTGGATGAACTATCCCTTTAATCGTCCAGTATGAACAAGATGGTTAGCATGCAAACACTGAATAATACACAATGTATGAATTACTTCAAAGCAACAAAAAATACATTAATCCCTTCCTGTACACCAGGCTAAACTTCACATCACATTGTAGAGCTTTTCATTTTTTTTGGTTACACAAACTGGTGTAATTCATTTTGAATTACTGCTTGCTATCAGGCTTAAAAACAGCTAAACAAGTCACTTACAAACATCAGAAAGCAATGCAGGTAAATTCACAAATACACGGAAACAAGAGGGTCACTGTGTGGGATTTAATTTAAGCTAAACCCCATTGCTACACAAATGCTGGATAATCTGCTTTTGAACTGGGTAATACCAAATCGACCGCAAAGTATCTGTGGGAAACTGCGACACACAATGAGCTTGTCGCTAATTGCGAGCCAGCAAGACAACAGGAATGCTACCATATAACTCGGAATCCACTGCAGGATTTCATTGGTTTTCATCTTTAAAAATGGTTAAACTTTACTCGATTTAAAAAAAAAAACAAAAAAAAGACTTTTTTTGTATAAATTCCTTTTACAATTATGGGTTGCATTAAAATCAGCTTGCGAAAACAATGTCACGCCAAGGAAATGCATTTAAAGCAGTGTTTGAGGGGTTAAAAGGTCATGTGTAAACAGACTTTAACGCACTTTGAGATAAGGACTACACTGACCTCAATCTCTTAACACGCAGGATTTCATTGGTTTTCATCTTTAAAAATGGTTAAACTTTACTCGATTTAAAAAAAAACAAACAAACAAAAAGACTTTTTTTGTATAAATTCCTTTTACAATTATGGGTTGCATTAAAATCAGCTTGCGAAAACAATGTCACGCCAAGGAAATGCATTTAAAGCAGTGTTTGAGGGGTTAAAAGGTCATGTGTAAACAGACTTTAACGCACTTTGAGATAAGGACTACACTGACCTCAATCTCTTAACACTGCATATTTGGAAAGTGTTTGAGATAGACGTGAATAATGCGGTTGGCGTAGTCACTGCTCTCGCACGAGGAGGCCCTGTGAGGAATGTGGAGCTTTATGGTTAAGTGCACCTTAGCTGGGCCTTGCCTCCTTTCAAAGTTCCCGTCAAAGCCCCCATGGCCCAGTTCAACCCAAAGACTTCCCCTCATCTTCAAGGGAGTAGGTGTGAGGGGTTAGAGGGGACAGAGCATGAGTAATGCTAACACATTTCCCAGAGGCAAGGAAGAATGCTGTGACTTGTGCGGGGTTAAGCCTTTAAGGCCCGGCCGGGTCAGCAGAGAGGCGCCTGACAGCCCTCGCAGGTCTGTGGCTGGAGGTGGATGTTGGGGCTTAGAGGAGAGGAGGAAGGGGCGCCAGGGAGAGCGGGACAAGAGGGGTTGAGGTTCAAAGGGTCACGGACATTCCCCACGTGTTTCATTGTGAGCTGCCGAGGCGTGCTTGTGGTGAGAGAAAGGAAAACAGAGTTGGAAAGGGTTGGTGTGAGAGAAAGAGGCAGGGAGGGCCATGGTGTAAGACTTCAGGAAAAACAAACAGGAAAAGAGTGTAAAAAGTATAATAGAAGGTAAGTGTACAAAGGTCATTCTTAAAAAAAATTATGGATTTCTGACTTTAAAAAATGCTTACATATTCAGTTCAGGTCCGTTTTCATCTGGAAAAGCCTATAAAAATGTTGAAAATTTTTCAAATGAAAATTTTAATAAAGGTAGCTCTTCCTTCTCTTCCTTAAATGAAAATAAAAAAAATAAATAAAAAAAAAGCAAAATGAAACAAAAAACAAAAAAACAAAAATCAAAAAGCAAATCAAAACAGGTGTATCAGATGAAGGGAACAATGTGTTTTTCAGGCACCTGGCAATTAAAAATATTTATTTTATTTTTTTTAAACGAACAAAATAATACAGTCAAAACAAATGACCAAAAAAACAACAACATCCGAAAAAAAGTGGTATGTCAAATGAAGGGGAAAGGTATTTCTTTAGACACCTGGCAAATTAAAAATACTGTTTTAAAGAGATAGTTCACCCCAAAAAATTTATTCTGTCATTCATTACTCCCCCTCATATTATAGAGTAGGTACTTTGAGTTATTTTAAAAAGTATTTTTAAAAAGTTTGTCTATGTATTGATGCTTTAATAAGGTTTCTTGAATATTTTAAATATTTTTCATAACTGAAAAGTTATAGGAGTGTTATGTTTGTTACCATATTTTTACAAGGACCCAGAAGAGAGAGCAATACAATACAAAAAGACTGCAACAGCTACAAGAGCTCTGGGAGAAGAAGGGAAACATTTGAATCAGGAAGAGTGAGATAGAGTGAACAAGATGGGAGAGATGGGAGAGAACGCTGGTTTAGGAATAGAACTGAATGACTTCCTAACAGGTGGGCCAGGGGGGTGCAACTTACCCTCTAACCTTGACCAGCATTGAGTTTCAGCTGTACCTCCGGAGCCCATGACCCTCCTGTACTCTCACTCAGAGAAAGCTGATTTGTTTTCTTACCCGTTCATTTCAAACACTCATGCCAAGCAAGAAAAACAAATCTTTTTATCCAAGCCCGAGCTTGATTTTCCCAACAAACCCAACCAAAACTCACCTCTTCACCACCTAAAAATAAAACTTCCACAACAAATTAACCAAGAGTTTGTGTAGGTTGATTTTTTGTTTAGTTTTCATAGCTGTTTTTGAGCTTAGAAAAATTAGCTCATTTTTTCCCTTAAGTGAAAAGCGATGTTTTGATAGCTCATCCTACGCAGTTCACAGAGGCGCTTCCACCTTCTATTCATGCTGCGTTAAAAATAACTCATACAGGTGAAGAGGAAAGCGACAATAAAATGGAGCATCAAAATAAATCATGAAACCGCGCATGCAGCACCTCTGTATTAAAGCACAGGATCATGGAGGGATGACCTGTGTTTTTAATTGCTGTTTTTACAGAGGTTCCACAGCTCTGAAGAGGCCATACTGTAGCTGTGGTGTTAAAAATACATGTACACAAACAAACACTTTACTGCATAAAAGTGCTCATAATGCACAAACCTGTTGTTTTGAGAAGTGTATATTTAGCATCATATAAAGGATTGAGTAGGAATTCAAAAGTATTGAGCAGTTAATATGTTCTTTCATTGCGGTGGTTCAATGCTGCCTTGACAATTTTATTAAGCTTTGCGTGTCCTGTAAAAATGCTGAAATATGAAATATAACTGTTTCTAGTATGCTTTTAAATGTCTGGAAATCTCATAACTGTTACATTAAAATTTTTATAATTTTATTTTATAAAAATAAACAAAACATAAAATGTTAGTTTATATGATGTTTTAATTGAATATTTAAAAAAAAAAATCATGACTGAAAAGTCATAGGAGTGTTGTTTTTAAAATAAATAAAATAAAATACATTTCAAAAGTCTGGGGTCATTTTGGATTTTTAAAAGGAATTAATACTTCTATCCAGCAAGTAAAAACAGTGAAGACATTTATAAATATACAACAAATGTCAATTTAAAAATAAATACTGTTCTTTTTGAATCCTGAAAAAAAGTCCACAAACATATTAAGCAACACAACCGTTGAACAACATTGATATTAATGATAAATTGATTTAACATTTATAATAAAAAAGATTACATAAATGATATTAAAAGAGAAAAGTATGTTTAAATTGTAATAATATTAATGTTTTTGCTGTATTTTGGATCAAATAAATGCAGCCTTGGTGAACAAGAGACTTCAAAAACATTTTTAAAAAACTAAAAACTTAAGAACCCCAACTATTTGAATGATAGGGAAAACATACAAAAGAAAACGTACCACTGAAAAGTGCCACTAATCATCATTTCCAAACATTTAGAGTAAATAAATTAAATTTAAAAAAATTAACAAAAAATAAACGAAACATTTTTAAAATGTATTCAGTTAAATAAAAACAAATAATACAAAAAAACATACATTAAAAAATTCTTATACAATTATAATTTTACAGTTCTGCTGTAAATAATATCTGAATGGAAGAGATGGTGTAGATGGACAGCACAGTGAGTGAAATGCAGGACAGCAGCTCACCATTTGCTTTTGAAGTGTCCCTGTTACCTGCAATAGTACAGGCCCACTATTTTTAGAATCAATGTCAACGGACTGTCAGCATATTTTAAAAGCTATACCCCTCCGGGCCACCATATACCCTTGAGAGAGCTCATGGAGAGAGAGAGAGAGAGAGAGAGAGAGAGAGAGAGAGAGAAAAAAATGTCAAGTGAGAGAAGTAAAACAGACTCTAAGCCAGATTTTGATAAGGTCCTTTCAACTCTACACTTAATGTGACGGTGCTCCGGTTTGACAGGTACTTAAGATGAGGTCTGGACTGTTTAGGAACCATCTGCTTTAACGGAGGAAGTGAGATCAGCCATTAAGTTAAAGTGCCAGTGTGATTTAATGGATGGAACTGCTCTATTCTAGAACAGGGGTCAATAGCCTTTGGTGGAACTCGCAGATAAAACAGATGAATGAGATGAAAGGGATGGATGAAAAACAACATTTAATGGAGAAAAAAGAAAGGAAGAGGGGCAGACGGACACAATGGGCAAGAAACCAGATGAAATATTAAGGCGGACACACTGAGTTCTGGGTGCGCCCTACACTGAATAAGTGATGAACCTGCCCGGGTTCCTGTGTCTTTGATGTGCGAGCGCCTGTTTGTCTGCCGGAGTCCCCGTCTGAGGTCCCTGGGTCAGCGCTGGGGATTATGGGCCGGATGAGACTTTTGCATTGACCTATTCTATTATCTGTGCTTTCAGGAGAATCCAGAAAATGTGCAATAACGCCAGTGCTCATGCCGCCCACATAACAACAGGAAATCTGCGATAACACGACTGCGGTTGCATAACCATAACACATATTTCAACACTTTACCACCTACATTTCAGCAATGACAAGGTGTAATGTATGTTTCACCGTATAGGTAGAGTAAACAGCTCGAAAATGCACAAACAATGCATCGGATGTCTCCCAATGCAATGCGATTCAAATCAATGAGCACTTCCTGCTGAAGGCTCTTGTTTTTTTTTGCTTGAGAATGGCAAGTCACTCTCTCTCTGTGTAAGGCTATCTTTCTCAAAGCTCTCCCGGTGGAAAGTGAACCTTCCCCTGGGCCATTCTATCTTTAGCGATTAACTTCCGTCATGTCACGTCTTGTCACCGGAGCCGGTGGCAGGCCTTCAAGCTGGTATCCACACCTCGCGGCCACCTAATCTCCTGCTCTTTACAACACAGGAAGAGGCTCTTTGCCTGCTTCCTGTCTGTCACCCTTACAAACAACCTTCAGAAACGTAATACCAGGTGGTGCGCACACATTTACAGACCCTCAAACAAACATGCACACACTGAGTTGCATGTATAATTTAATAATCTATAGAATATATTAAATAAAAACAGTTCAGCAATATTAGGTATCATCTTAATTAGTTCACCTGTTAATTTATTTAAATTTAAATAATCGCCTACTAATTTTAAATTTGCAATAATTAAAAAAAAAATTATATGTATATACACTTTGCTTATAGGACACAAAATATATGTCTTTAATTACTATGTACTAACATTTAAATTAATCATTTGATATAATGCAATTATTGTTTACATACATGCTTTACATTGTACTTTTATGAAAAAAAAAATACCTGTATGCAATTACATCTATATTTAATTTCTGTAAATACATCTAAAATTTTTGCAATACAAACACATTGTACCAAACAACTTTTTTGGTATACATTATGGTATAATGTAAAGTGGGACCTATTTACATTGTACAAAAATTTGATAATTCATCCTTGTGGAGCTTCAAGGATAATTACATTTGACCATATAAAGAGCAAAAATTACTTTCCGTTTATTTTAGAATCCGAAGAATTATTGTAAATACTGATATAGTGGTATGTCATAAAATTACAATTATTCATAATACAAATTATTAATTCTGTATTGTGCTTAATTAAAATAATATAGTAAACAAAACTATATTATTATTATTATTGTAGTAGTATTAGTAGTAGTAATTCATTAAATGAATTATTTAGCCAATTTTTTACTAATGCTAACAATTATGAAGCTGTCCTGTAGATATTTTTGTTAAAAATATTTTTTAAATATTTTTTTACCTTATACATCAATTATCAACTACAGTACCTCATCAGGTGATACAAGATTCAATATAGTGATATTTTTGTAATTGGATTGCAACCAACTCAATATTTTTTGCACTGTTCAAATGTTCAAAGAAACAAACATGTTCATACAAGTGAGAAAAGGTATAAATATATTGATAGAATATTTTTTAATAAAAACATGTAATAATTTTTTTTTGTGCAGCTTTTATTGATAGTAGAACGTTTGTATGAACTGACTAAGCGGTGGGAGTGGGATACAAAAATTTGACGCAACTATCCACCAGACCTAGTAGTTCTTTGACGCACGCTAATACTTGTCTGTGACTTGAGTGCTCTCGGATCATTTGGGTCGTGGTCCTTTCGTTGCTATTCAGATGCCTCTGGAATTTCTAGTGTCGCCTATGCATAGCAGATCTAATGCATCAGGGAGTCAACAAGGACGAAAATGCTGAAGAGTTCCACCAATTGTAGACCGCATCACTGCATGCACATGCACACACACACACTCAAACCGAAAGGAATCCAGAGAGAGTCAGTCAAGAGGAAGTGATGCCAGGAAGCATCACACAAAAAGGCGCCACGGGTCATACTTCTCTTTGCCGTCCACTTCCTCCTGTCTCTGCTCCCACGCACGAAAGGCAGGGAAGCAGAATGAGGAAACTCTGCCCTACGGGACTGTGGGATGCTCAGGGAAAGATAATGACAGGGTTGCCCTGTAAATGTACCTTGACAGGTCCGATTCGGAAAGGCGGCCTGGACTGAAATGAGCCAACGTTGTTAAGTGTGAATGGAAAAAGTGAATGTGTGCACTATGGCTAATTTTTACTAGTCAACTTGTCATCCAGAAGAGCAGTTGACTAGTCAGTGGGTTAATGTTTACCTTATGTGAATGACTCACCATGTGCCATGCAGCCTTTTTTGTTTTTGGCAAGAGGTGGTTCACCCAATATAGTTTGATTCACAAACAAATGACTACTATGAGCGGATTCCTTTAATGACTAGGTCAAAAAGACTGGTTCAAAACAGTCCGAAACACTATCCTGTGTAATTTACAGCATTAGCAGAGAGCAAATGTCTTTCATATCTCATCATAACAACTGAAATACACTGAATTATACAGAATCCGATCAAACTGAATTTAAATCGGAACTGAATTTGATGCTTGTGAATCAGAATCAAATCCAGATGCGATTTGCAAAAGCATGAATGTGGTTAAAGCTGCATAGCAACACTAGCTGGGACTGAAGTCACATGATCAACAACTAGTCAACACAACTCACAATATCCAGTGAGTCTAGTGGCAGAACTAATCGACTAGTCAATGAATGTGCAGGCGTCCAAACTGAACAATTGTTTTCTCTATGCAGTACAGTAGGTACAGATAAAAGGGACAAATGGAAGAGAGGGAGAGAGCTGAAGTCACAGTGTGGAGGAGTCTATTATTAGTCTATGGCTCCAGTGGCAAAGTGAGGTCACATCAGAGCCCAGCTTTAGGCACGTGTGTGTGCTCGGTATGTTTTTGCTGTCACACTCGAGCTACTCTAGAAAGCCAGAATCAGTGCGCTCAAAAAAAATACATAAAAAAAGAGAGGGAGAGAAAGGGCCAGGGAAAGAGTCTTCCTGTAAACACGCAAGGCACACACAGTCTGTTGTGTGCCGTCTCACAGCATTTCCTCAATCCGCTTGTAAAGAAGAAAGCACAGCATTTTGCACGGAAGCATGAGGACATTCCCATAATTCGGATCAGAACACGGCACGCAGTAAATAAGAAAGGTTTGGAGAGCTGCTGGCCACACAAACAACGCTTGTTGGGCTGAATATATTAAAGTCCCAAAATTTATTATTTTTTTGTTTGTTTGTTTTTTTTTTAAACCTGCTACTGTAATAGTAATCATCTACCTTATTCTGTATAATTATACAGTTGGGTTAAAAAATCTGAGGCCACAAGCGCAAATGCTTCTGTTTTGCATTTTTTTAACTGAATATATTTATATAAAATATTATTACTAGTATTATATAATATATATTAAAATTAAATTTGAAATTACATTATATTTAATAAAAAAATAGTTAATTTTAATGTAAAAAAAGTAAAAAATTAACATGAATTTAAAAATTATATTTAAAATACATTTATTTTCATAAATTATAGTATCAGAATCAGAATAGCGATTTTAGTAAAAAACTTGGTGAAAAAATAACATGCATTTAATAATTATATTTAATATAAATATATTGAATTTTTGACCAATTAAATACTGACAGCAATTTAATAATTACATTCAATATACATTTATTTTTCATTACAAATTATATATCAGAATAGCAATTTGAGTGAAAACCTGGTGAAAAATTTACATGTATTTAAAAATTGTATTTAATATAAATATTGAATTTTTGACAAATTATAGTATCCGAATAATTTTTATAATTAGCAATAATTAGCCATTTGAGTGAAAGTTTAGCAAAAAAGAACAAATGTATCATTATATTTAATATAAATACATTTAATTTTTCATTACAAATGATAGAATCAAAATAGCAATTTGAGGGAAAACAATTAACACTGACAACAATTTAATAATTACATTACATAATTTATTACAAATTATTTATCAGAATAGCAATTTGAGAGAACACCATAAAGTGTAAAATTACCACAAATGTAATAATTTCTACAGATTTTGTCTTCCTTTTCCTTTCATGGCAGCATGCCAGATTTTCAATGTGGTCTCTGGTTTTTAAACCCCACTGTATTAGAACGTGAATGACATTTGCCAGAGAACAGAAGTGGATAGAGTAGACAAAACCATAATAATGTTAAAAATACTGATGAGATGAGGAGTGATTATTTAAAAAAAATAAAAATAAAATACACATGACAAAGAGTGTCAGTGACTGCAGTGACAGCACACTGTTCAGTGAGGGCTCAACATTAGCTGGCCTATATCTCCCCCTAGTGCTTGGACTGAAACCGTTCTGATTACATTAATCAGTTCCTGTCAGAGTTAAAATCTTACCGCTGTGGAGAAAAGAACACGTCCCACTTCAACCACCTGAGGGTCACCAGACTGAGTATCAGCAACAATGGGATTAATCTAAGGAAATCAGAGTATTGACGTCAACAAGTGATTAATACAAACATGAAAGTAGTGTGCACGTCACAGAGATAACACACTGACTGAAAAGTACTGGATTGATCTACACTACAGCATTGACGCTGTACCGACCCCCAAGTGTAAAATCAGTACTGTTAGTGAAACACATGGGTATTGTGTGGCCACTGACCTCTATTGTACCATTCTGAGCATTGTGTCGGTGAGGTGATCGAGGGTAAATGTCCATCAGGTGTGGAAGGGGATCTGGAGTGACTCGTTTGCTGTGCCTGCTCAACAGATCTCTGTAATTCAGCGAATCGAAGTTGGTCTTCCACATCAGAACCTGAAACCCAGACCATCACAAGCATGAGTGACATCAGCCTGATAGCGATCGGAAGGTAAAACAATCATTAGGTCACGATTACCTGAGAATCAGCCCCTCCTGAAGCAAACAGACCTCCGTCTCGAGAAAACACCACAGCCAGCACTGGACCCTGAGAGCAGGGGGGAAAAGACACTTTAGGGCTTTTCCTATAAGGGTGGGATGTTTAATACAGGTCTATAACACAAAATACACATAAAACTGAAGGAATTGTTCACCAGAAATTAAAACATGCTCATATCATTCTAAAAATGTCTGCTGTGATTTTTTCAGAAACACTTTACAATAACATCCAATTAGTTAATGTTAGTTACTGCATCAACTAACGTACTGTAAACATTTGTAACAGTATTTATTCATCTTTGGTAATGTTAGTTAATAAAAATCACTAAATAAAATTAACAGATACAACTTTTGATTTTAATGTATCAGTGAATGTTCAATTTCATATTAACTTAAATTATTAAGACTAATAAATGCTTTAGAAGTATTTTTCTTTTTTTTAGTTTATGGTAAGTAATGTAGTTAACCAATATTTACAATAAAAAAACCTGTTAATTTTATTGTCATTTTATTTAGATTGTTTTATTATTATGCGACTCTTGCCATAAAATGACAGTTTATGATAATGACTGTAAAGCTCCAAAACTGTACAAAAATAAATACAATTAAAGATTATTTATGTTGAAAACTGTCTTCAGCTTTACCATAGACATTATGAACAGTAACATAAAAAAGCGAAACATAACGGATCAAATATTACCTGTCAAATTATATAGCATTTATAAAAATACAAGAATTTAGGAATGAATTTTAAAAAGTGAATATTTATTTTGAATTCTTAATACCAAAATTATATGTGAAATATTTTCAATTAAAATAAAATTCATTAATTTAAAAAAATGGAAACAAAATCATAATGTTAACTGTTTGGCAAGAACTGTGTACATATCATTTTTTTCCTACAGAAAAAGCAGAATGTTTCTTTGAAATGGCATGAGGGTAGCAACAGAATTGACATTTTTTTGGATGAATTCCTAATTGTTCCAGTTGGGATTCAAATTCTTCACTATTAGCAAGAGAGAGACACCTTGTGGCCGTGAAGCGTGTAAATGAGCCTCCCCTCCAGGAGGTCTAAGATCTTCATTGTACTGTCACTTGAACCACTGATCAGATAGTTTCCAGATGGATGAAAGGAAAAGCAGTTGACCCCTGCACTATGAACTGCAAGACAAATGCAAGTTAAAAGCTTGAAAACAAGACTAGTCCTTGACTCTATTAAAAATAAATGACCATGTGAAAAACTCTTTTCTACTACCTCTGTAATGTTGTATTAACTTGTTTGTACGAATATCCCAGATTTTTAATGTGTTATCCGCTCCTGAGGATGCAATGCACGTGCCACTGGAATTGAAGTCCACAAATGTTGCTGACCTAAACAGACAATTTGAAATATCAGTTAGCTTGAACCCAAAAAAACAAAGATTTGGAAAAAACAACAATGCTCAATTCTCACCCTCCGTAGTCTGTGAAGATGTTGATGCACTGACGTGAGGATGTATCCCAGAGGCGAACCGTCCTATCATCACCACAAGAAGCAACAAGACGACCATCTGGTGAAAACCTGACAGGACCAGACCAAGTGACAATGAGAAAAATCCCACTTTATGCGACAAACCAGAAAGGTTACACACACAGTCTCATACCTCGCACAGCGCACCCAGTTGGTGTGTCCATTGAGAGAATAGAGGAATTTCTTCCGTTCGACACCCCACACTTTCACAGACTTGTCATCTGAACCCGTGACCAGCCTTTGGCCATCGCTGGAGAACTGAACGCTTCGAACGCTCGCTGTATGGGCTTTGAACACAGTCGACTCGCCCTTTCTGTAACACACATGTAGTGTAACGCATTAAGATACAAATAACACTGAAACTCGAAAGTGGGCATCTGTTCACACTCACATGCTGGGCGTCCACAGTCGAACTGTTTGATCTCTGGATGAAGATGCCACCAAGGAACCACTTGGAGAAAAATGGACACCTGTAATGATATCTGTGTGACCCACAAACCTGAATGCTCTGGCTTTAGGAGTGAGGTTCCAGATCATAAGGTTCTTGTCACAGGATCCAGTAGCTGCAAGAGAAGTTGCAAGCGGATAAACTGGGATGTTCTCAGATGGGGAAAAAAGAAGACAAATATGACATACCAAGCTGTTTATTGTTGGGGCTGAAGTCGGCACAGGAAACAACATCTTTGTGACCTTTAAAATGTCTCTCAAGCGTGGGATCCTCCTGAAAATAAAAAGACATCATAGAAGAATAAGGTGTAAAAAATTAAGTCCAAAAGTCTGACAGAATTAGAATGTTATTTTTATTGAATTTTTTTGTTTACATGCAATTTTCATGTGAGTGAATATACATAAAACATTTTTTACAGTTTTTTTATATAGGTATGTAGATACATATGTAGTGTTGGGGAGGTTACTTTGGAAATGTAATAGGTTACAGATTACAAGTTACCTTACTTAAAATGTAATAAGTAGTGTAACTTTTAAATTACTTTATAAAAGTAATGTAACTGATCACATTTGATTACTTTTATAAATGTGTTTAATGTTTTCAACTGTTAATCATTTTCAAACATATAAACCAGGCAGGGTTAACCTTACAGTACTCAACACTGATTACTGTCAGACTTTCAAAATACTTCAACACTTGAATTAAGATTATAATATTTTTACATGGTGTTTACACATAAATGTATCTTAGCAGTGTGGAGGATACAACCACCCTACAATGATAAAAATCCATTCCCTCCTTTTTTTTAAAGGGGTCATATGATGCTGCTAAAAAGAACATTATTTGGTGTATTTGGTGTAATGAAATGTGTTTATGCGGTTTAAGGTTAAAAAAAACATTATTTTCCACATACTGTACATTATTGTTTCTCCCCTATGCCCCGCCTTTCTGAAACGCGTTGATTTTTATAAAGATCATCGGTCTGAAAAGCGAGGTGTGCTCTGATTGGCCAGCTATCCAGAGCGTTGTGATTGACTGAATACCTCAAGCGTGTGACAGAAATGTTATGCCCCTTACCAGACTGTGATGGCGTGTCCCGGCTGGAGCGACGAGACAAAAACATTAAAACCCATTATAAACGAGGCATTTGTTGCATCCAGTGGGGACATAATTACGGATTATAATGACTTATACTGTCTTTTTAATCATTGCATCACGCCGCGTAAACATAAAGCCATGTCTACATTTGTGATCAGAGAAATGACAAACAACAAGTGCTACTCTACACTGCTCAAAACTCGCGTTTGAATCGTCAGTGGCAAATTCTTTAAATATAAAAAACATACTTACAGTCTGTGAGTCAGAACAGCCGGCACTGTAGTCTACTCTACCAGGATCAGCAAACAGTCCTCCATAAAATGCGCTGGACACATCTGAATATTTGGGTTAAACTGTTCTGGAACAGTGTTGTAAATACAACTTAACCATTGATTTCTAGTCGTGTCCTCTTTTGGAAGGCCAAACAAAGTAGTTTCGCTTTCACAATGAAACACAGCATCACACACGGCGGGCTAGAGTGAGCGGAGGCCACGGCCTAGAGTGAGCGGAGGCCGGCTTGAGTGAGCAGAGGCCGGCGGGCTTCAGAATGGCGTGGCCAGCGGATTCGACGAAGGAGTGTCCGGCGGGCTTGCGGCAACCACATGTGACGACCCCGGGCTGGACTCCGCTTCGTCCACAGTGAAAGCCTTTCCGGTGGTCCACAGCGCGAAGTTGATGTATTTCCTCAGCGACCAGCACGGATCAGCTCCAGGCATGACGAAGCAGATATCATCCTCTTTTGGAAGGCCAAACAAAGTAGTTTCGCTTTCACAACGAAACACAGCGCCTTCACGACATGGCGGTGGGCAGCAACAACAATACTACAGCGAGAATAAAAGTTACGCCTTCTTTCTTTGCGTGAACATTTGGGTGGTGTTATGCAAATCTTTCCACATCGTGACGTAGCTATGTGGGGGCGTGTTTGAACGAGCCGTTTTAGGTAGACGTGGTTGACTCTTAACTTTTATAAAGAATATCTTTTTGGATTTGAGACTTTAATCTTTGCAACTTTACAGATCTTCTTTATGCACCAAGAGCTTGTAACACTCCAAAGAGAAAGGAAAAATTGAAATTGCATCATATGACCCCTTCAATCCCCCCAAAACCTAAACAGTCTCAATTATCAAGCTGTTTTGATTTTCTGAGCAGTATGATGTCATATTGCTCAGCCCCCGCCCACGACCGCTGAAGTACTGTCCAGTCTTAGCATATTTTCACCCTCAGCCAGTTGTACAAAGTCCATTTTCTCTGTGCTCGAACAGCTGTCGTGACAATATCTTGTAAGCAATGCAGGTGTTTTGTAGTTTTGTGATGTAAAAGAACATAAGAATCTTAATTTTCTCCCGACATCAGAGCCACTGAGGACGCATTGCATTAGTTTTGTTTTTGATGGTAATGCACCACCGGATACACCTACATTTGTTTATGTCTGCGCAAATCATTTTACCCCAGACTGCTTTTTGAACGAGGGAAAATTCAAGGCAGGTTTTGTTAAAAAGTTAAAACTCAAGGATAGATCAGTACCCATTGTTCGTGATCCAGCTGCTGCACCTCCACAAGAATTAAGTCTCACACTTTATATTTTTATAATTATTTGCAAATCGCCTTTGCTCTTCCATGAAAGAGAGGGGTGGGGTGAGCAGTGCTCATTAGCATTTAAAGAGATATGCACCGAAACGAGTGGCTGTGTTGTTGAAACCAGTCGGGTGTTGTTTTACACGACCACTAAGGAATTTGAACCAAAGTATGTTGCAAACATTTTATGAGGACCCTAAGGAATCCTACCAACTTGTGGAAAATGGGCATCCGATTTTCCCCTTTGAAGCACAGCCACCACAAAATCAGACTTACTTTGAGATCTTTCTAAAGGTTAAATAATACCCATTTTAAATCATAACAAGAAATAGCTATGATACTGTTTTTGAAATCAAATTCTATGGTTAGCTATGACAGGAAACACTTGAATCTAACAATGCCTTGGAAAAAAAACAGTTAATCTTAAAAATGAAGCATAGCTATTCACAAACTCGTATAGGAAATAAAAGATTTTCATGTTCTTAACTCCTGAAACACTGGTGTTTCATATTTTAGAGCAGTCACTGCAATTTATGAAAAAAATCTGTATGTGTTAGTGTGTGTAAAAACATCAGATGTAACCCCCTATTTTATAAGTAACTAATTTAATTAACGTTACACATTTTTTTCTCAGTAACTGTAACTGATTACAATTACTTTTTGTAATTAAATTACGTAACCCCATCTCATCATGATGTCCAAAAACCATGGTAATACAATGGTATATTTTCAAAAAAATCATGGTATTAACGTGGTACATGTCCAAAACACCATGATGGTAGTACCATGTCTAAAACTACGCTAATTTCGTAGCACTTTTTTGTTAGTGATAGTTAATTGTATTGTTTTTGGTCAATTACTCAAGGTTAATTTCGGATTCGAACAAATATTACCAGTAAATACATCCAAATATACAAGCATAAACGAAACTTCCCAGCACAGTTTGCACAGAGCTAACCAACAAGCAACAACTAACGTTAACTAAAATGCCCATATCCGCATTTTAAAATGTTTCTGATAAGTCTTCTTACCATTACAGACGCCATTATTCCGGTAAAAGTCAAACAAGTTTCTGAAATTGGTACAGTTTGGTCTTGGATTTAGAAGTAAATAAGTGAAACTCGTTCATGTTGAGCCACTTCCCATCTGTCAAACAAGCCGCGTTTTACCCAGACCAAACAAATCACGCGCCGAATCATCGAGTCAGCGCCGCTAGTTAAACAGAATGGCGAGAAATTAACTCAAAATATCGTTTGTGTCTAAATATTTACATGTATACACCGCTATTTTGACTGATAACATACTAATTTAGACATATAAACGTCTGCGTTAATGTAGTCAATGGAAAACGATAATGTAACCCATCCTCCTAATGCAACAGAAGGCGGGTTGGGATTAAATCTCAAATTTGCAAGCTTGTTTTGCGAAGATTATACTGTCTGTAGAGTCAGAGAGTTGCATATCCCAGCCAAATATTACAAACAAATGTCTTCAGAGAAATTACTTGTAAAAAAATATATCGATCCGCAAAAGCTTGTAATAAATAAAAACGGCCAACGGCTCTCTGTCACTGCAGAGTTGTAACCATAGAATAAAACGGCCATTGGAAATAACGCCGTTGCTTAGCAACAACCCAAACGGTAAACTCATAGAACAACATTGAGATAGTAAGAAGGCAATCATTGATTGGATCCTCACATCAACGGACCAATCCGTGAAGGCGTTGCTCAAAGAGGCGACGCTTTGAGTTTTGATTTTGGAAGCTAACGTTAGCAGCCGAAGATCAGCTGTTGGAAGATGTCGGTGAAGCGGGGCATTGGCGACTCTGAGGTCAGTGGGTTTATTCTTATGCAAAGTGCAATTCGAACAACATGTAACGGTTTGTAATATTTTAAAAGCTAGCTCAGGAATGTTTGACATGGAGAGCTGCGGTTTAAAGGGAATGTGACACCGGTGTTGCCATCACATGCATACATACCTGTCTGTCTGTCCATCAACACCAGTTTACTGCTGATGCTTTCATGTTGTATTCTTTTGTAACAATGCTTATCAATAAATTAACCTTCTGTCTAATCTAATGGATGTTATTAGAGCTTACAGTGGCTTTCATGACCACTGATGCTCTATTAAACTCAATGTTTGTTTCATAGACATCATGTTCTCAGAATATGATGAGCCACCGGTTACACTGATCCCCAAAACAAAAGAGACAAAACACTCATTATTTCATTTAGCACTCATTTTTATACAAACCCGATTCCAAAAAAGTTGGGACACTGTACAAATTGTGAATAAAAACAGAATGCAATGATGTGGAAGATTCAATGTCTGTCCATCAACACCAGTTTACTGCTGATGCTTTCATGTTGTATTCTTTTGTAACAATGCGTATCAATAAATTAACCTTCTGTCTAATCTAATGGATGTTATTAGAGCTTACAGTGGCTTTCATGACCACTGATGCTCTATTAAACTCAATGTTTGTTTCATAGACATCATGTTCTCAGAATATGATGAGCCACCGGTTACACTGATCCCCAAAACAAAAGAGACAAAACACTCATTATTTCATTTAGCACTCATTTTTATACAAACCCGATTCCAAAAAAGTTGGGACACTGTACAAATTGTGAATAAAAACAGAATGCAATGATGTGGAAGAAATTAATTTGAAATAATTTTTTGTAACATTATAAATGCCTTTACTGTGTTTTGCCTTTAATGTTTTCATTTATTTTACTAAAAATCTTTGACCACAAACTTTTGAACAGAGTTGTATTTTAATATATTCCTGAATATATGCTTTTATTTTTTTATATGTCTTATATATATTTTTTCCAGGTAATCCAAGTTGCTTCAGTGTCAGATCAGAATGATAACATTAAAGATGAAATGGTGGGATTAGAAGGTAAGAGTTTAATTTCTCTTTTATGTTACTCTTTTTTATTTTTTTTATTATTATTCTTAGTTTTTCTGACATCAGTATTATTATATTATATCTTAACGCTTTTGTGAACAAACAAAAAGTCTGGGAGAAAGCAATAATTTTGCAAGTGAGCACAAAGTTTCTTGGTGTAATGGAATACTTTTGTGCGAGAAAGCAAAAGTTGTGTGAGCAAATAAAGTCATCAGGTGAACACAAAAGTTTAAAAGTTTGCAATTGAACTAAAAATGTATCTGGGAAATTAAATATTTGTGAGCGCAATGGGTGGGTGGAAAATTTTAGTGCATTTTTTTCCATCACCATGTTGCCTTAGGGGCTCCATACTTCAGCAAATGCATAGAAACTCCCTGACAATCATTTGTGGTTATTTTCATTTTTTGTATATAATTTCAGATGATGTTTCAATATTCTCTGCTTCCCCGGGCCTCGATCGTCTCTCTGATCAGACGAATGGCTCCCCCCAGCCGACGCTTTTTTCTCCACAGAGTATCAACAATGATGAATCCGGCGACAATGCATTTTCTCCTAGATCTACACTCCAAAGGTAGCCGAATCACCTTTGTGTTTGTAACAAGCACATAAAGCTATCTCTTTAATTCAACCAGCCACATCCGAATATTATTTTATGCATCTAACTAATGCCCCCTCTAACATTTCCTCTATTGTGCGCTCACAAGAGCTCTGATTGGCCGGGCTGCTTTCTCATGTTCTCAAGCTCCATTGAGCTTGTTTAGGGGCAGCCACTGCAATCAGACTCTGTCCTCAGAGACCCTGTGGGGGGGAAAACAATGAGATCTAGCCTGTAACAGTGAGAACCCCTGACTGTCCTCACTCGGTGTAACTGAGAATCTCTGGGCTCACTCATAGTGTCATCAGTGGCGTGGGAGAAATGGATCTGGACAAGAATGGACAGAAGAGCATCCAAAACTCTCCAGTTTCTACCTCCAACATCACAGAGTGCCCCTACCCCGACTGCCCATATCTGTTGCTTGATGTGCGGGACAGAGAACAGTATGACCAGTGCCATATTATCAGTGGTAGGAAACTTACCTGGAAACTGTATTTTGCTCAAAGAATAAAAGACATTAAAAGCATTCATATTAATATTAATGTTATCTGTTAATAATTGTATCTGTTGTTTGCTTACAGCATATAGTTACCCCATTGCGACCTTATCAAGGACAATGAACCCATACACGAAAGAAGTTCTCGATTATGTATCCTTTTATCCCTGAAATGTGAATTTGACAATGTTTGTTCTCTGTTGAATCATATTGCAAACCTATACTACACATGTAATAAACTTTAGCACAATAAATAAATAAGTAAATAATATATTTTAAATATATAATTATATTTATTTATTGTGCATGTATGAACTTTTATAATTTGTATTTATTATTCATTAATTAGAACTCAAACTCTTATATGTATTATGAATGATCATATATAAATAAATTATATATATATAACATATATGATCATTATATGAAAAAAATATATATGTATATAATAAATAATAATTTGTGAAGAAATACATGAATAATTTATTTCATGCATGAACAGTGAATAAATAAAATATTTATTCTGCATTCATTAATAGATAGGATTGGAACTTGGATTGGTCTCTTGAAATTGTAAAAAACAAATGTTGAGAAAAAAAAAATCAAATCACACTGTTATTGTGTTTTAATGATTAAGGATATGTCATTTCAATTTCTTGTGTACTCATGCCCATTGCTAGTGTTAAAATCTTTTACAACTGTGCAGAAAAATGCATCAGGGAAGATCATAATTTTGTATGATGAGGATGAGAGGATTGCAAGTCAAGCCGCCACCACCATGTGCGAGAGAGGCTTCGAGAATCTCTTCATGTTGTCAGGGGGTGAGTCAGACAAGAGACCGATAGCAAACAGAAGTCCATCATGAAAAAAACAAATCAGGGAAGGGAAAATAAGAAGTTCCTTTTCAGATTAATATTAGTGCTGTCAAACGATTAATCACAATTAATCGCATCCAAAATAAACGTTTTTGTTTACATAATATATGTATGTGTGCTGTGTATATTTATTATGTATATATAACTACACACACATGTATATATTTCAGAAAAATATGTAATGCTTATATATTAAATACATTTATTTATAATATAGATTATATGAATATAGACATGTAAATATTTTCAAAATATACTGTACGTGTGTGTATTTATATATAAATATACACAGAACACACACATATTTTATACAAACAAAAACTTTTATTTTGTATGTGATTAATCGCGATTAATCACATACAAAATAAAAGTTTTTGTTTGTATAAAATATGTGTGTGTTCTGTGTATATTTATATATAAATATACACAGAACACACACATATTTTATACAAACAAAAACTTTTATTTTGTATGTGATTAATCGCGATTAATCACATACAAAATAAAAGTTTTTGTTTGTATAAAATATGTGTGTGTTCTGTGTATATTTATATATAAATATACACAGAACACACACATATTTTATACAAACAAAAACTTTTATTTTGTATGTGATTAATCGCGATTAATCACATACAAAATAAAAGTTTTTGTTTGTATAAAATATGTGTGTGTTCTGTGTATATTTATATATAAATATACACAGAACACACACATATTTTATACAAACAAAAACTTTTATTTTGTATGTGATTAATCGCGATTAATCACATACAAAATAAAAGTTTTTGTTTGTATAAAATATGTGTGTGTTCTGTGTATATTTATATATAAATATACACAGAACACACACATATTTTATACAAACAAAAACTTTTATTTTGTATGTGATTAATCGCGATTAATCACATACAAAATAAAAGTTTTTGTTTGTATAAAATATGTGTGTGTTCTGTGTATATTTATATATAAATATACACAGAACACACACATATTTTATACAAACAAAAACTTTTATTTTGTATGTGATTAATCGCGATTAATCGTTTGACAGCACTAATTTATATATTTATAAATAGATCATTGAAGTCTCAGGGATCTCTAATACATACATGTGGGTTCATCCTGTCAGTATGATGTATTTAATGGAATTTATTCATTAACTTCTCTTTTCCTTTCTCAAAAAGGTTTAAAAGTGGTTGCTCAGAAGTTCCCTGAGGGAATGACAACTGGCTTTATTCCCATTTCCTGTCTGCCGTCACCCTCGGGACCTGGAGATCGTAAGCGATCGGTTCCACAGCAGACGTCACAGCCAGCAGAAAAAAAGTGGCGGTTCACCTCAGAAGACCTCAGCAAAATCCAGCATTACCTAGAGGAAGCGTACATACCCAGTGAGCCCAGCAGTGAGTCATCATTTCAAATCTGATCAAACCAACATATCCATTTTCACTGCATTACGAACAATTTACCAGTAGATGGTAACACGGCCATCTC